AGCGAAGGCCAACATCAAAGGGGAAGGGGAGTAATTAAATTATAACAACGGAAAAAGTGGATCCCGAGTAGAAGGAAGTATCAAATCATCTGATGTTTAAAGCAGGGGTTGAAACGGTTGACGGTTTAGACTACTTTCGATTCGTTGTCGTGCACGACAGTCTGTTTGAATTTGAACACTCATGCTCTACTGTCGTATCTCTCACACAACACGAAAGGTAGAACAAAATTCGAGCAACAATAAAACTATCAAATAACTTTGATATGAAATTTTGTTTAAATTAAACCATTTCTGATAATAAATTACTAAGACATCGTTGCTTGCTATTTTCAGAATTTACACAAGCACACCAGTAGCAGCTCTTATTGTAGGAAAAACTAAAATGCATAAATACGACCATCACGACTGTCATATGACATTTTAGTTATGCCAGTTTCTTTTTAAATCGAGCCCCTCATAATCTTGAGAGGCTTTTAGAGACCAGGATTTTGAAATTTGATCCCAACTGAAGTCTCAGGGGCCTCCCTTAGCTCAGTCGGTAAAAGCGCAGCTACAAAGCAAGACCATGCTGGAGGTGGCTGGGTTCGATTCCCGGTTCGGTCTAGGAATTTTTCGGGTTGGAAAATTTCTCGACTTCCCTGGGCATAGAAGTATGATTGGACTTGCCACACAATTATACCAATGCAAAAATGGTACAGGCATCGAAAGCTCTCAATTACTAACTGTAGAAGTGCATCTAGAACACTAAGTTGAGAGCACGCAATAAGCTAATATGCAATATGCAATAAGCTTGAAATGCGAAGAAGAAGAAAGAAGAAGAAGTCTCAGAATCTTGACAATTTTTGTTAATTCTGGATCATAAATTTCTGTGCATGGAATCTATAACTTATCTAAACTATTTCTTTTGAACTTATCTCAGGCTATATTTACACATTTCTCAAGGATTTTATTAGGATAATTCCAAAATGACTTCAGAATTACCATTACGTCCAGGATTTCCCTAAGTAATATTTTAATTCTTTCCGGTAATCCCTACAATTTGTTTCCATAAATGTCGGAATGTTGTGTAGTACACAAAGAATTTCCCCAAGAAAACTCTTGAAAATTGCTCTACTTTTATCTTTCCATTCTTAAGCATTCTCGCCAGAAAATGTTTTAATTAGCCTCCATTATATTCTTTACAATTTGGTTGAAATATTTCTAGAAATTTCGTGGTATACCATTTTGAATTTAGAAAAGTATTATCTCATTTATTTATTTATTTATTTGATTTCGCAGTGCATTGGGATTTTAGTGGAATACTTAGCAAAGAAAATGTGATTATTTTCCATTACATTCCACTAAGTAATTTGAATCCATGACAGATACGTGTTACGACTGCAATGTGCAGACTTCATCAGTGACATTCCCATCCAAATAATCACCTTTTCTTTGCTGCTGGATTTTGACGTAAGAATTGCATAGCAATTTTCTGCATAGAGCTTTCTGATAGACTGCATTGTTCGCGTACTTTAACCGAAGTTTTGGCTTCTGGACTTTGTTTTCACTCATTTGTTCTTCGTTACTCTCCTCTACCATCGTGGTCGTCGCGTCCATTTCGACTAGATTTTACTCAATCACCTCTACCTCTTCCTAACTAACACCAGCGTACGTGCTGTTGCTTTTTCTCGTTCTGGTATTGCTTTTCTGGTTCCTTCCGGGTCTTCCGCTTGGGGCAGGAATTCATGCGCTGCCCTTCCGTCTTCCAAAGGAAGCATTTATCCTTATTCCTGTCATAACATATATTCCCCCTCCAATTGAGGGAATTCAGTGAGGAGGGAATCTCATTTTTCACATCCTTGTATACACCTCGCACACCTGTGTACATGTCGAGGCCCAGCCCAATTTCACAGGGAATTCCTCCCGGATGACACGCTTTAGTTGCCCGTATTTTTCCAGCACCATCGGTAGGTAGATCATTATCTGGATTCTCATCCAGCGATTTCACGAAATATGCAATATCGCATATAGTGGGCTTATGATTTACAGTTGCATATGCAAAACACAAAGTCAGCTTTGTTTCGACCATAAGGCCGAAGCAAATTTAATTTTTAACTTATGTCACTCCCCTTCCTTTCAATAATTACAAAATATTGAATCGTCTTTCGCCCAACGCTTTATCTTAAAACTACAATTTTTTTTAATTCATTTATTAATGTATCCATAGTTTTTTTTCGTCCCTTGTCATTTATTTTTTTGCCCATCTTCGACCAATTTGAGTGATGTGGGACATTAAAAGAAAATATTAGTTGCATCAGCCTAATTAAAAACAAACAGTTTGGGGCTGTTCATAAATTACGTAGACTCTTAAGGGGAGGGAGGGGAGCTGACAAATGTCTACGGTCCATACAAATTTCCAATTAATTTTATGGACGATTGTCTACGCGGGGGATGGGGGATCGATCTACGTAGTTTATGGACAGCCCCTTTTTCAGAAAATAATGACAAGACACGACCGTCGATTTGACGTAGGGTTACATGCTCGGTATCAATATTTGGCGACTGTGTTAGGGAAACTACTTTTTACCATCACGGAAACGCCTCGAAATTAAGCTTTTTGTGCACAAAAGGAACGGAATTTTCGGTTTATTCAATACATAATAAAAATAGCGCAAATAATTTCTTGCTAAAATTTTCCAATCGCAAGATATTCACGATCGATTGAGAAGATTTGAGATTTTCTACTGGAGAAAACCTTACCTTAATTCGAAGTGTTAATTGACAAGGTCATGTGGTTACGGTTGTTACGCATTTGACCACAAACGTTTGGTTGCTGGGTACATTATCAAAGAGCTTTGGGGTGATTTGGCTGGCAGCAAGGCGAGCGAACGTTCAATGAAAATTAACTCTTAAACAACAATCATCTATGGTGGTCGTGAAAGAACATTTTTGTCGTGATGGTTGAGTAGTACTGAGCTATTAGGATGTTCAACACGGATGAGGCTGGCGAGCTGTATGTTGTTTGGAACGAGGGCACCGCGCTTGGCATAGATAGCCCACAGCAACTCACGAAGAGCTACTGAATCCGATCAGTATCGGTGAATCAGTGAATGGACGCTCATGTGGGCTGCAGCTCGCTGCTTGCGGGGAGCCTTTCGTTGTGTACTGGATAACAATGTTCAACGCCACGCATCGAAAGCACTGCTACTGCTGCTGCTGACGACGACGACCAACCACACACCACCACACACGGTGATTGAATAAACACCGTTCGGCGAAACCGGATGGAATGCGATTTTGAAATCTGTGTTTGATTGATCACTATTGCTACGGTTGGACATTTGTGTATTTTCAATAGTGTCCTATTGAAAATTGATAAATTGTTCATTTTAGCAGATTCGTAGACAAATTTCCACTCGATTGGTTTGTTTAAACTTAAAATCCATCCGCTATTGGTTGAGTTATAAGTGGTCAAAACCTGACCACTTTTCGTAACACGGACGATTTTGTTTTTTTTTTTATTTGCTCCTCCAATATGTTACCGAAAGACGTAATCCTACGTCAAAAATGACATAGTAGATAATTAAATTCTGACTTCCGCGACGGAATGCTTTCTCTGCTGTTCAATTAGATTTTATGATTTTATTTTTCTTTGTACAATTTCGAGTTAACAAAATGTAAAAATAATAAAAAAACAAAATAAACTTTTACTAAGTTATTGAGTTAAAATATTGATCAACATACCAATAACTTAATGAAAATTTGATATTATTTTGCTATGATTTTGTTATTTACCTCTACTCGGGAAGTACCGTTCGAGGAGGACGAGATTTGATGGGGGAAGCCCTTGCACACAATGGGAAAGATTTGCTTTAAGTATCGTTGCGTAAATTTCGCTCGTTGGAAGAGAAACCAGCACTTGTTAGTCAATTACGTCAGCGAGAATTGCAAGGGTGTAGTGAAGGTCAATTTGTAGCCGATAATTGAATGTGATGTGATAAGGGTTCCATCAGGAACGGCTTCTTGTTCGAGGAAAAAGTTTATTTAACGATTTGCTGTAATTTAACAGTCATGTGGAATGAAGGAGTTCCTATCTCTGAAGTTAAGAAAAATTGCTTCGAACATTTATATGGTTGAAGATGACCAATCTGCCATCCAACTCTGGAGATATCTCCGGCCATTTTCGTGATAAATGTTTCCTGTAATTCTCTGTTTTGACCTTCATATTACCATTCATATTAAACACCATAAGACCAAGCCGTCTATCATCGTGCAAGATTTACAGCCCCGTCGTGTTCTTCTCACACAGCAAGCATCAAATTTTAACTTTAAAATGATCCCGACAACGACAGCATCCATCAGGTGCAAACACCCACTGAATGAAAACCGGAAAATCTGCGGGAGCTGAAATTGAGTCCTTACACTCAGTTCATGGTGATGATGATGATGGAAACTCAATTTTCACGAAATTAAGTCTGCTCCGGGTAATGCTGAAACTTTTCCGGAAGAGGTGTTTCTTTGCCACCGACCGGTGCTGCGCTGCTGATGGGATGCGATGTAGTAATCTCATTTGCCTTCCCAACTATTCATCCACAGCAGCGGCAGTCATCCCATTTTGTGCCGAGGATATTCTTGGGTCCTAAACAAACTTGTTGGCATCATCAGAGTGAGTGATGGATGGAACGGTCATGCCGAGCGTCAGACCGAGGTTGACGAAAATGTATCTACAATTTACATAGACCGGTGTTGGTAGTCGTAAAATGATGTTTATCGAAGATACATATTCTCATACCGCTTTAAGCTTTCAGTGGATCGTTGGGAAGGAACGACCGGAGCTGCCCGCATTAAATTGGATTGAGGCGTTTGGCCGTGAGGTGGTATATAGCAAACATAGTGATTAGTAAATATTTGATATTCGTGTGGTAGGTCTGGTCACCTATAACCGGATAATGTTAAGCTCTGATGGCATATATTCCAGCTGAGGATTAGACTAATCAAAACTTCTTCTCTTGTTGTTTCAGGTCAATTTGTGTACGGGCGCGGTTTCCTTCGCTTGGGATTCGTTGTCAAAATGGTAAGTAACCAACGTATGCAGGGTCCAATGTCAAAATATCGAACTTAGAATAACATAAAAAATCAATAAAATCTCACACAATCAGAAGTCATATAACAATGTACTGGCAGTATCGTGTAAATTGCTATAGTTTAAGTCACCATCGCATATAAAAATTAAATACATCACATTATGTTTAAGTCAAATCATATAGAATGCAAATTTCAAGCTTAATTTTCCACTCTATATCAAGACCAACAATTGAAATGGCCTTAACTCCATTTTGTAAACAAACCTTGTAAGGCAATTTTCTCGCGAACCGAAACCTTCATTCGCAAACCTAAACCACAATCGGGTAGAGGAGAATTTCCCCTACCTGTTCATTATGTTGGTTTGCCTTTGCGAACTTCGGTTCGCGAGAAAATGGCCTTACAAGGTTTGTTTACAAAATGGAGTTAAGGCCATTTCAATTGTTGGTCTTGATATTATGAAATTAGTTTAAAATTATTTAACTGACAGAAAATGGAACTGGATGACTGTCATATGGATGTTCATTATTGGATGATGAATTCAACCATATCATCCGAAATTCGAAAGCATATTGTCAAAAAGCTTGAGCAATGCAATAATCATTCGAAGTATTGCAGATGTTTTCGTTCAGTGTAGCTTGCACAGGCATACTAACACCACTATTAGGTAGGGGAAAATTTAGACTTCCCTGGGCATAGAGTATGATTGTACTTGCCACACAATTATACTAATGCAAAAATGGTACAGGCATCGAAAGCTCTCAATTAATAACTGTGGAAGTGCATCTAGAACACTAAGTTGAGACCACGCAATAAGCTAAAATGTGATAAGCATTAAGCTTGAAATGCGAACAAAAAGAAGCCAAATCCGGCCAGAAGATCGTCGGATCGTCGTGAGCCTTCAGGAGAGGGAGAAACCGCTTTTGGAGACACTCTTCCAAATACACCATGAATGGACATGGTGCTTGCGGTAACGAAGGGTGTACTCCGCTTTCCGCAAGTACAAAACGTTTGCCAAATTAAGAACTTCTTGGCGAACTTCGACATCTTCTGTGTCCGGAGGTTCTCGGGAACATCACACTTATCCTTGGCAGTCACATACAGGTTTCCTGGAATCTGGTTGAAGTCCACCTTCACATATGTCTCGTCATCCATTACGCAGCAGTGTGGTTTCGTTTACTTCTGGTCATACAACTTCCGGGCACGGTTTTTTGCGACCGTATTCTGTTTCTCGTCACGGTTTGGGGACTTCTGCACCTAAAAACGTACGTAGTCCAGCTCGAGTTTTGGTATTCTGGAGTGTAAATTCTTCCAACCAAGTGACTCTGCAGGTCGACTCAGAACTGACAGCAATAGAAAGAAAGCAGGATAAACTGAAAGCACATAACATATGTGGAACTCGATCATCAAAAACCGACCCCATTCCAGTGATTTCAAGTGGTATAGAAGGACATCGATCTGTCAAATTCATTATACCAGTTGTAAAATGAGAAAGGGGATCAAGGGGCTTGTCAATTGTTTTAAATAATTCTACCGCGGTTTATAATTCTATGTGTTCCTAGCACTCCTGAACTCATGTCTTACTATTTCATTAACAATTTGTGCTTTATTTATAATTATATAGCTAACTTTAACAAATGCATCACCTTGATTCACACAGCAAAACTGTGGTAAACTTAGAAGAAACATGTATGTAACATTATCTTCTTTGGACATTTTCTAATTTTTTGGAAAGAATTGCATCAAAGTTTGATTTCATTAGGTTTTACCGTGTAGATTTGGAAGTAAGTGCTTACATTTTTAAGTCCAGAAAGCAGCAAAATTTGGAACAAGAGTCAGAAGTACCATTTGAAAATATGCAGTGTTTTGAGCTGACTTTGCATCGTTCCATTTGCAAGAATTTTGTAAGCAAGATGATAATGAAGTCGAGCGCACTTTCTATGTTTCTCAATTGCCGTCAATTGAAAATTTCTTCAAAAATCCCAACACAAAGAAGTACTCCAATTACTTTGTAACAAAAAACGTGATAAGGTTGATCCTTGATGATCTAAAAGGCAAAGGAGGAGCTACACACAATCATAACAAACTTTTTTTCGACCACTATGACTAAGGTCCCAGGAAAGGGCTCCCAGCTAGCTGTATCAAAGTTAATCACTATTTACTAACGAAAATAATCGTTAGTATGCATCAACTGGATATTTCGTGACAATAAATTACATTCAATTAACACAATTTCTGTAATGAATCCAATGCAAACCAATAAGATCGAAGAGACGAAGAAATTTTGCAGCTATATATAGGCAATATCACTGAATAGTAACGCTCTTGATTGGCTTCTGACCGACTTGAAAATACTAGTTAAAAAATCCTTTGAAAAGCCCCCTGTCAAGCTAGTCGAAAAAAGAATGCCCACACGTCAAACTCCGTCAAGCATTTAGACAGCGGACGAGCAAAAGAGACGACAAATTATCGGGGCATCACTTGTTTACATCTCATTACGCATTACCGTGACGTTTGGTAATTTGCCTCTTGGGTCACTCTGTAACTCTTCACTCCTATGGTAAAATCCCATAAGCAAACATCAGTCTGTACGTGAAACTTGGTGAACATTTCCTTAGCCTTTCACTCCTATGAAAATCCCATATGATTCTGTCAATCTTTGAGTGAAGAAACAGCGGCTTGCTGCAGGAATGAAGAGATAAGACAAAGTCCGCTAGATTCCATGCACAGAATGTCAGATGCGTATGGGATTTTACCAGGAGCAGTCTTGTAAGCGGTCACGGTAGTCGACACATTTTCTGTGATAATCGACTGTCTTTGCCTCCGACACTTACAAAACAAGCTATCATAGTACAGTACCAAACTCAAATGTCATTTAACATGCTCTGTCATACGACACTGTCGCCGAATACCGTCCCGAATGTATGTATTTTAGTTTTTTCTCATAATAAGAGCTGCTGATGTTGTGCTTGTGTGAATTCTGAAAATAGCAAGCAATGATGTCCTTGGAATAACATTTCTGATCATAAATGGTTTAATTTTTGAGGAATTAGAACCAAATCACTCATGTCATATGATAGTTATTTGATAATTTTCTTTTTGCTCGAATGTTATTCTACCGGTTGAGTTGTGTGAGAGAGACGACGGTAGAGCATGAGTGTACGATTACAAACAGACTGTCACGCACGACAAAGAAGCGAGTGTTGTAAAAAACGTCAACTGTTTCAACCCCTGACCAGGAGTAAAGAGTTACAGAGTCGCTGTCAACGTGAATGCTTACTTTCGTAAGGGCCAATGCTACAAACGCAAACAATTACTTTTTGCGTGAATTTCTCGAAAATGAAAACTCACTCAAGAAAACCAACACCATGATGGTGTGGAGAAAGAGTCCTCCTGTCCGATGAAATAAGTGTCTTTCATGGATTGACTTTGACCTACGAGACATTTACGAAAGAAGTCATTATTTATGTTTTCGACATTGGTCCTTATGAACGCTCAGTGTCGATATCACGAAAATTTTATTTTGACAGATCGATGTCCGACTATGCCAGTTATACCACTGAGGCAAAACAAAAAAGGGGTCAGCTCAAGGTCAACTTTTTACATGAAGTTCCACATATGTTATGTGCTGAAAGGCAGCCGAACATTTTTTTCTACAGAGGGAGCACCAGATTGAATGCTTTAAATCCGAATGCTAATGATTTAAATAGCCGAGTTAGATAGTTTTTGGCTCACTGACTTAAATCAGTGGAATTGGCCACAGCAGTTTTACGGTATTTGCGTGACGCTTATGTTAATGTGTTACACTATAACTGTTTTCTCCATATTAATAGCAATGTATGTGTCCATATTAAATGTGTCGATGAATGTTTAAAGCTAGAAAACAAAAAGTGATTATTTCTGCAAAATATTTATTCAGCTCACTCAGCAGAATGGGATCGTAAAAGGCTCAGTTTGGGAAAAAAATAATAAAAGAGGAATCCTCCACACTGCTACACTCAGAATCATTCATGTTACGCTCAGCTGTCTGTTTAGCTCAATTCTGCGTTCATCAATGAATCAAAAATACCCCCAAATGACAAAATGACAACCGATCAACGAACCGAATGATAACGCTATGTCAGAAGTGGAAAACAATAATGATATAATCTTCTTCCTTTTTTCATGACAAGCAGCCCGTGCGACACAGCTCACTCGGGGCGGTAAAAGGAAACGAGCAAATTGTTGGCAACCTGCTTCACGAAGTAAAGCCGAAGATGATACATGTGTTCTAGTGGGATTCTTTTTTGTTATGTCTTTTCTCGATGCAGATCAAGCAATGTCCATCGACAAACCGACATGAATGATCATACAAATAACAAAGAAATTTCTGATTAAAGTACAAAACTGACATCTGCGCCGTGTTCGCGGAAAACATTTATCCTAGCCACGAACACGCGTACAAAATTTATGAGTTGGTTCGTGTCTAATCTATTTTGGACAAATTATTTTTATCTAGATAAAACATTTAACGGCGCCGGTGGTGTAGTGGTAGGCGTGATTGCCTCTCACCCCAGCAGGCCTGGATTCAATCCCAGTCGGCGCCGCCGGGATGTTCTGAGGCATAACATCTCTGATCACGCCTTCCTTCGGATGGGAAGTAAAGCCGTTGGTCTCCGGTTCATGAGTTGATGGGTCGATAGGTAGGGTCCAGGTGTGGGAGCTGCCTTCCTGGCACGTCGGTAGCATTGGTGCTCAGCACGGAAAACAAGATCGACGGAAAAAAACAAACCAAAGGAAAAAAAATAATAGATAAAACATTTCTATGGTTTTGACAGATAGAATCGCTGTACATTTGAATCGGCCGTTATGGATTCTCGGTCAAGAGTTAAGTTTAAGTTTCTTGTCGGTTTGTCGGTGCTATGTCCTCATCCATGTATATTACAACTAGGATTGGGCGATCTTGGATCGATCTTTTTCATCCCGATTACCGATTTTTCCAATCGATTGTCA